TCAAATATTTTATCTAAGATTGAGCTTGAACATTATTATATTTTTTTTAATAAGTGGTGATGATACAAGAATTACCTGACGTTAGTCAGAGGACACGTGGCGATGGTTGATGTATGCTCCGACGTCTCCCTAGACTCGTCTCCTTTGCTCCAACGCCTGCAAAACAGAACCTCGGGGTTGTCCCCAGGGGTAGATCCTCCGATGCCTAAGTTAGAATAGGTTTTTGGTTTTCTGGGGTGGTGGCTGCGGAATGAGTAGAAGAGAGAGTTTGGAGAGTTCAGAATGTCTCTTACCTTGACCTAGGTCGTCCTTTTATAGGAGTCAGATGACCTAGGTCTCCCTTCTGCAGGCGGAGGACTCCCTGGCCCATAAGCTTCGTGGGCTGACCTCAGACTTTGGCCCAAAGTAAAGCTCCTCTGGACCTTGGGCTTATAGTAATTCTCCTCAGGACATTGGGCCCAGAGTAAAGCTCTTTAGGACCTTGGGCCTGAATTGGGGTTGGGCTTCAGCCTCGACCTTGGGCACTGATGGTCCTTGGAGTACACGTGTCTTTATTCTCCCGAGCCACGTGTCTCCTAATAAATGTATATTTTTTCCCTTATCACTTGCCCCCCATTTTATGTACGCATTAATGTTTATGCGTACAGAAAATAAGCGATGAGACATTCACAGATTAATATCTGCATTTGGTGACTTTCCAGTACAGTTGTGTAGACAGACAGTCCAATTGCTTGTTATAAAATTCCTCACTCTCATTTCTCTTCTCACTTTTCACATTGTTACTTTCTAGAGAGAGAGATATAGAGAGAGAGGGAGAGAATCAAGCTCTTGGGATTGCATCGATTTGTCAAGCTCGACGTCAGCATTCGAAAGTCCTCAGACCCTGGTAATTTTCTCTTACCATGTCCTTATTTCTTCAAGTCTTCGGTAGCTAGTTATTATTTACCGACGTCAGTAGCGTTGGCATATTCCTTAAGCAACATCGATAGCAATAATTTGGACATATACTTCACTTCGGTAGGCCGAAGAGTTTCTTTGTAGACCTCGGTAGTCCAAAGACTAACTTTTTGAACACCTCGGTAGGCCGAGGAGCTTCTTTGTAGTCCGCGGTAGTCCGATGACTAATTTTTTGAACACCTCGTTAAGCCGAGGAGCTTCTTTGTAATTTGCGGTAGTCCAAGGACTAATTTTTTGAACACCTCGGTAGGCCAAGGAGCTTCTTTGTAGTCCGCAGTGGGCCGAGGACTAATTTTTTTAACACCTCGGTAGGCCGAGGAGCTTCTTTGGAGACCTCGGTAGGCCGAGGATAAATTTTTTGAACCTTGGTAGGCCAAGGAGCTTCGTCGTAGTCCTCGGTAGTCCGAGGACTAATTTTTTGGACCTAGGTAGGCCGAGGGTCTTCTTAGTAGTCCCCGGTAGTCCGAGGACTAATTTTTTGAACACCTCGGTAGGTCGAGGGTCTTATTTGTAGTCCTCAGTAGTCCGAGGACTAATTTTTTAAACACCTCGGTAGGCCGAGGGTCTTCTTGGTAGTCCCCGATAGTCCGAGGACTAATTTTTTAAACACCTCGGTAGGCCGAGGGTCTTCTTGGTAGTCCCCGGTAGTCCGAGGACTAATTTTATAAACACCTCGGTGGGCTGAAGGTCTTCTTGGTAGTCCCCGGTAGTCCGAGGACTAATTTTCTGAATACCTCGGTAGGCCAAGGGTCTTCTTTGTAGTCCTCGGTAGTCCGAGGACTAATTTTTTAAACACCTCGGTGGGCCGATGGTCTTCGTGGTAGTCCTCGGTAGTCCGAGGACTAATTTTTTAAAAACCTCGGTGGGCCGAGGGCCTTCTTGGTAGTCCTCGGTAGTCCGAGGACTAATTTTTTAAACAACTCGGTTGGCCGAGGTCTTCTTGGTAGTCCCCGGTAGTCCGAGGACTAATTTTTTAAACACCTCGGTGGGCCGAGGAGCTTGTTGGTAGTCCCCGGTAATCCGAGGACTAATTTTTTCTAACATCTCATGACATCTTAGGACACCTTGGAGACCTTGGGAGCTTGGGAGTATTACCTTAGACTTTTGAAGATAACATCTTGATACACTTTGGGACCTTGGGACCTTAGGATTGTCCAATCCACTGCTCTTCCCACAATTTTTTTTTTATTTGATAAACTGCAAACGAGCAGATTTTGTTCCTTTTTTTTCTTTTTTTTTTTCTTTTTTTTTTTTAAA